CACTTCACGTACCCTATGTATCTTTTGTGGTTGACCCTTCGTAAATGCTGGGTTTGTGACGCATCTTTGGCTAGCTATCAAGCCCGAAGGCAACGAAGGATTCTGAACGTTTTTGCAAAAAATATTGGATGGTCAATATTTTTTGGAAGATAGATTGACGTATTGATTTAGAAGTAATTTTTTATTTTGAGGAGAGAGAGTGAATTTTTACTGTCTTCTAGAATTGTTGATGAAAATTGTTAGATAATTGATAATATATATTATTGCTATTTTTTGCAACAATTTTTGTATTTGTAAATATATATTTGAGATTAATTACTGAGAAGAAGAAATTTTTAAATAACGAAGAACTACAAATTTTTTAAAGATATAGAAAAATTACTAATTTCAACAAAGCTTACAAATCGCTTAAATAAAAAACCAATATATATATATAGAGAGAGAGAGAAAGGAAATATAATTACATTGTTAGAAATTACAAATATTGTATAAAATTATTTGAATATCATTGTCTATTACTTTTATATAGAAACTAAGAGGGAAAAATGCGAGACAGATCTATTTTTATCGACTTTTTAATCTTGATGACATTTGATTAGCAAGGAGTTCTGTCATGTGATATATGCAGTAGTAATTGGAGATAAATAAAAATAATGCTTAGGTTCTTTCAAAATAGATAAGGAATAAACGTATTGTTTTTAGAAAAATTTTATAGTATAAATAATGTTACGACAATTAAAATTATTTGATGTTTAACTCTTTGTGATGCTATGTATATGGCCAGATGTCATTTTTATTCTATATTTAATCTACTTACGATTTTATTTTGCATAATTTTTATTTAAACAATTGAATTAGAATAACATCGTTTCTTTCTTAATATTCTTTCATATTTTGTACATATATATTAGGCAGCTAATATTTATATATTTAAGTGCAAAAAAACAAATATTTGATCAATACTTTGAAATTTATTATAAATCACAAACAGTTTAGATGATGCCAAATAATTTCGCTAAAATTTGGAACGTTTCGATTTTTCGGTGGTCACGCATATCAAGATTACACTGGACCGTCATAAATCGAACTTGCACATAAATCAATCATAGCGAGATAATCAAATGATCAATTTCATTGTTATCTGAGACTCTCATTAATCACTGTTGAAGTTTATAACAGCAACCGATAATGTTTAAATGGTACTGACACTCCTTGAAAACCTACTAATTAAATGCATAGATTTACACATAAGTGGTAACACTATCAAAACAATTACTTCTGAAATTTGCGTATTAAAAATACACAAAAATGAAAAATAATATAACAGTACAATAATATAATAACATAATTATATAATATATGCCTACAATATTAATACACAAAATGATAAAATTAATAGAAAATGTAGGTATTTATAGTAATCATTTATTTAAAATATTTAAAATTATTTCTAACAATTTTTAACATTTTGCTATTAACTTTACTATGATTAAAAGTTAGTAAAATAAATTAGCTTAAAATATTTCCAATAAATAAACAAAAATTTATATGTATTGTAAATAATAATTTAAAATAATTATAAAGCTATAAAATATCATAGTATAGGAACATAATACTACCTCTAAACCAGAAGCTTCTTTCATCCCAAAACTAGCAATAAATAAAAAAGAAATCAATTATAGTCAAATCAATTTTCACTCTTCCAAATATAAATATACTTATATACATTATATCACTATAATACACCACTGAAACCAAACAATCCCAGAATAAACGACCAATTGATTCGAAGAAACAAGCAAGTGAAACGACAGGTTATCACCTTTCACCTTCTCACTGATTGAATAAAACTTCGAAATCGTATCAAAAGCAACTCGTTTGAAAATTCGTTCCCAGACGAGCATCGATACAATCGTGTTGCCGAAAACGCCTGTACCAAAGAGCAAGGTACGAACACGGAGAAAGAAAATCCAATTGTACGAATGTACGTTCCCGTTTGCCTCGACGTGTGTCATCGAAAACCGTGGTATCCGGATTCCTGGGTCCGCCAATTCCAGAAACAGCCCACGAATCTTCTATCCGGGGTCATATTGGAAAAGCCTGCCACGAACCCCTGATTGGAGATTGCACAGGTCACGAGGAACTGACCTCCCTATATAATTCCTCGGCTACTTGCCGATTGAACCAAGAGCTCACGTCTTTCGTGGCTAGTAAGATCGAATAGGACGATTTCCGTTTCCCCTGTCTTTCTACGTAACCTTCGTATCTTCGATGCTAGCCAGGATAGATAACGAAGATATCCGGGTAACATAGATCCTTTGGAAATAAAATGTATAGCGAAAAGAGGGTTGAATTTGAAGATTTTATTAACCCTTTGCACTCGACGACTTTTTCGTTGCAGAAAAATAGTAATTCGAAGACTTCCTGTCATAGAGTAGACGATATTTTTAAAATGGTAAATGGGAAGTCATATGCAAATTAAGACGTAAAATTATTTTTCTTCGACATTCCACACATCGTTAGGTAATTTTAAATTTGATATATTAATTAACGTCGATCTTTAGAATCTGATTAAATGGCGACTGAGAGTCGCCTCTCGAGTGCAAAGGGTTAAAATACGATACAACTACGTGAGTTTCTTGGAGTCAAAGGTTAAGAATGATCAATTTCTTTCTGAAAATTTGGAAAATTTTATAGAAATTTTGATTGGGATTTAATTTAGTAAATTTAGATCAATTTAGATTTAAATTTGGTTTGTTAAACTTAATTTTTATGAGAATATATAATTTTTATATGGGAGAGCAGATCCTGAAAGATAGGTGTGTGTGTGTGTGTGCGTGTGTATGTATATATAAAATGTATAGCGAAAGGAGAGTTGAATTTGGAGAATATTTTATTAAAACACGATGCAACTACGTAGATTTTACTCGAGGGTGGAGAATGATCAATTTCTTTCTGAAAATTTGGAAAATTTTATAGAAATTTTGATTGAGATTTAATTTAGTAAATTTAGATCAATTCAGGTTTAATTTGGTTTATTAAACTTTATTTTTATGAGGATATACAATTTTTATATGGGACAGCATATAGTGTTGCAGATCCTGAAAGATGGGTGTTTGTATAGGTATGTATATGTAAAATATAAAAGTAATACAAAAGTACAAATCAAATTTAAAGATTAAAAAGTCGAGAAAATATTACGTTTAGTTTAAAATTATACTGAATTTATTTTTTACTGAATTTATTTTATTATATGAAGGTGAATCAAGAACATACTCTTTTGTGCACTATAGAGTGAAAGTGTGAATATTTAATTATGTTGGGGATTCTACTCTCCCGGCTAGCATAATGAATATTTTTCATTTTCTATCGTTTCAAACTCGACAAGAATTCTCTGTGGGGAGATATATTATTCAAAAGTATTTCGCATTCCATTTTGTTTATATATGGGGTATTAAAAAAATTTCGTAAAATTTGGTTAAAAATTGTAAATGAAATGTTTATTACCTGAAGCGGATTTTGTTCAAGCGTCGTACAGCTTTGCCTGTGCTGCTGCTGAAATTTCGGCTGATATGGCTCCAACATTCTGATCTTCCCCCATCGATTGAAGAATAACGCAATTGCTGCGGCCCAAAGGAGGAGGACCAAAATAACTATCAAAGCCTCTTCGGCTCTGACTATAACTTCACCTGGTCCCGGGATGCCTGTTACAACATTACTTCGTATTATTTTATGTTTATTATTTAAACAATTGTAAATGAATAAACTCATTAAATATCAATAGTTCAAATAGAGAATATTTAATAGTTACAGAAAAAATGATGAATTTTCATAAAAGAAAAATTAAAATGACTTTTTAAATATAATATTTTGATTTCTTGAACAGCAAATGTTTAATTTCCTTAATACTATAATTTACAAATAAAAATATCTTTTTTCCTAATTAGATGTTTTACCTTGCTAACATTTGAAGTAAGAAATTTTCTAATTTTTTAAATTAAATGATTAATATTTTTTACTTTTTATATTACGAAACCTTTTTATATTTAGTCTATGATGTTAAAGGAACTAAACAATCAATTAAGAAACTTAGAAAATTATGTTTAAAATACGATACAACTACGTGAGTTTCTTGGAGTCAAAGGTTAAGAATGATCAATTTCTTTCTGAAAATTTGGAAAATTTTATAGAAATTTTGATTGGGATTTAATTTAGTAAATTTAGATCAATTTAGATTTAAATTTGGTTTGTTAAACTTAATTTTTATGAGAATATATAATTTTTATATGGGAGAGCAGATCCTGAAAGATAGGTGTGTGTGTGTGTGTGCGTGTGTATGTATATATAAAATGTATAGCGAAAGGAGAGTTGAATTTGGAGAATATTTTATTAAAACACGATGCAACTACGTAGATTTTACTCGAGGGTGGAGAATGATCAATTTCTTTCTGAAAATTTGGAAAATTTTATAGAAATTTTGATTGAGATTTAATTTAGTAAATTTAGATCAATTCAGGTTTAATTTGGTTTATTAAACTTTATTTTTATGAGGATATACAATTTTTATATGGGACAGCATATAGTGTTGCAGATCCTGAAAGATGGGTGTTTGTATAGGTATGTATATGTAAAATATAAAAGTAATACAAAAGTACAAATCAAATTTAAAGATTAAAAAGTCGAGAAAATATTACGTTTAGTTTAAAATTATACTGAATTTATTTTTTACTGAATTTATTTTATTATATGAAGGTGAATCAAGAACATACTCTTTTGTGCACTATAGAGTGAAAGTGTGAATATTTAATTATGTTGGGGATTCTACTCTCCCGGCTAGCATAATGAATATTTTTCATTTTCTATCGTTTCAAACTCGACAAGAATTCTCTGTGGGGAGATATATTATTCAAAAGTATTTCGCATTCCATTTTGTTTATATATGGGGTATTAAAAAAATTTCGTAAAATTTGGTTAAAAATTGTAAATGAAATGTTTATTACCTGAAGCGGATTTTGTTCAAGCGTCGTACAGCTTTGCCTGTGCTGCTGCTGAAATTTCGGCTGATATGGCTCCAACATTCTGATCTTCCCCCATCGATTGAAGAATAACGCAATTGCTGCGGCCCAAAGGAGGAGGACCAAAATAACTATCAAAGCCTCTTCGGCTCTGACTATAACTTCACCTGGTCCCGGGATGCCTGTTACAACATTACTTCGTATTATTTTATGTTTATTATTTAAACAATTGTAAATGAATAAACTCATTAAATATCAATAGTTCAAATAGAGAATATTTAATAGTTACAGAAAAAATGATGAATTTTCATAAAAGAAAAATTAAAATGACTTTTTAAATATAATATTTTGATTTCTTGAACAGCAAATGTTTAATTTCCTTAATACTATAATTTACAAATAAAAATATCTTTTTTCCTAATTAGATGTTTTACCTTGCTAACATTTGAAGTAAGAAATTTTCTAATTTTTTAAATTAAATGATTAATATTTTTTACTTTTTATATTACGAAACCTTTTTATATTTAGTCTATGATGTTAAAGGAACTAAACAATCAATTAAGAAACTTAGAAAATTATGTTTAAGAAGATTTCTTTCATTTATGAATCAGGATATTGGGGAGATTAAACATTTGATTAAGTATATTAGGAAAAAGTATGTATTTAAAAAGACTTTTGTTTATGACATGAAATGTTAAGAATATAAAACATTTAATTTAAAATATTCGAAAATTTCTGAATTAAAAAGTAAAGAATATTAATCATTTAATTTAAAAAATTGGAAAATTTCTTACTTCAAATGTCAGTAAGGTAAAATATCTTTTTTCCTAATTAGATATTTTACCTTGCTAATATTTGAAATAAAAAATTTTCTAATTTTTTTAATTAAATTAATATTCTTTACTTTTTAATTCAGAAATTTTCAAATATTTTAAATTAAATGTTTTATGTTCTTAATATTTCATTTCATAAATAAAAGTCTTTTTTTTTACTTTTTTCTATTATACTTAATTAAATGTTTAATCTCCCCAATATTCTGATTCATAAATGAAAGAAATCTTCTTAAACATAATTTTCTACGTTTCTTAACCAATTGTTTAGTTTCTCTAATATCACAGATTAAATGTAAAAAAGTTTCGTAGTATGCACAATTTTCTAATTTTCTTAATCAAATGTTTTATCAAAATATTATTTCCTGTATATACGATTTATCAAAAAATTCTGATACGAACAAAGTATTTACACGTACATTCATAGTTAGGGATACCATTAGTCTGAAATGTCATTAAGACGTTACTAAAATCTTTAAGAACTATTATCTCGTTTGACGGGGCGCTCGAGTCGTAGCTCCCAAGAGTATGCAATACACAGACCCTAATCTATACTTCAAAATCTGCCACGTCTGCCTTTCAGCTTGCAATTACCAAAGTACAACAAGATAAATTGCACTGTCATCTTTAATTCCTTCATTCGGACAAGACACTGAAGGCAATTTTAATTTAAACCTCTTTATTTTTGAAACAGATGCCTTTCATCCATTTAATGAAATATTAGATCATCTAGAACTTATATACTTATTAATATATAAATTATAATAAATAAAAATTAAAATCTAGTTTAGATTATAAAGAACTTGCAAACATAATTTTTATCACATCGATATTTGTAAATATAGCTGTCATTAATACGAGTGCAATATTTAAATTAAAATATTTCTTAAATTCATAACTTTTTGATATAAGTACATGGTTTAACCATTTTTACAGAGGACACCAAGTAGTATTGATCTATATATTACAATTTATATACTTCTATAATATTTTTTAAAAATTGTGACTTTCATGTGCCTTTTACACATCTACGTACAAAAACATTTAACAATATGAATATTTATACAATATGAATAATTAACATATTTCTTTATTTTTTTTTTTTATCTTTATTTTATCTTTATTTAACTCAACACTTAATTCAACCTATGATTCATAATATATTTAATATTATAGGAAATATCTAGACTACAAAGACCTTGTATATTAATATAATAAAAGTCTGTACTATAAAGAATTTATATATTCGTCACTATACTGTTAGTCTAATGATCATTACAAACACTTCATGCTTCTTGAAACACCAAAATCACAAAAATCCCTTGAAATACCAGAAATTTTCGAGTTTCAAAAATTATAAATATTTCACCTTTTTCATGGTTCAAAGTTCTCGAAACACGATGTAAATTTCCGAAATTAATCTCTAAAAGAGTATCAGTACATCCAATATCTTTACTAAAAAAAAAATAAATTAGATTTGGAAAAATTTCGAATATTAATATCTCTCTGAACAAGAATCTTAGTTAAATATTTTTTTATATGATATTTTTGCTTGTATTTTATCCAACTGGTCAATAAGGACAGATGTGAAAGACAAGAAGAAATTTCTCTTACAAAACAAAGACAGTATCTCGAGTTTCAATAGCTTCAACTATCAAAAATTTCAGAAGTTTCGAAATCTTTCAATGTCTCGAGAATCGAGAGTTAGGTTCGAAGCCACCCTTAATTTCATGGATACTCTGATGTGTGTGATTTGGGTTAAACGAGTGCTGGTAGTCTTGGAGGCTTGATTCGAATGCAAAGTGTAGACACGAAGCAGCATACTGCTTTCATAACGATCTGTGTCACGATAAAAATATGTACGCAGCTTGATGAAGGTATTTCATGCATCACTTAAGCACTCATTAACATTTCAAGGATCTGTTAATCCTTCGTATTTCAAAATGTAAACAGTATTAGTACTAGCAAAATATTGGACATAGTAACGAGGAAATGTAAGAATTTTTGTTAGGTGTGTTATCTTTATTTTAAAAAATATTATCCTACTAAAAATCTTCATAACAAATGTGACTAAAACCTCTGTATATTAATTTTTGCATGGTTTTCTTTTAGAGTAAAATTAATTTAAATGTCTGATCTATTTTCATTAAGAATAGTGCTCTAAAGAAGCAATAATTTTTTAGAAAAATTGATGTTTTTAAGCATAGTATCAAAAAAAAAAATATATAGTATCCAAACATAAATGAAATAAATCATGTCGAATATAAATATACATTAAGTATAGTATAAGTATATAAAAGTGTAATATTAATATATTTGTACGTGGTATAGTACAAATTTTATTATAACGTAATAAGTATATGTTATAGTGTAACAACATTACTATACTTATGTATATGCATAGTATAATACAGCTTCTGTTACAGTATAATAAACTATCATATTTTTATATAATAAACTAAAAATATCGTATATGATAAAGTACAATATTGCTATATAATATAGTATAGTACTTATAATATATTATATGGCAAGATTATTATATAGTATATAATAATACAAATATAACTGTATTTTATGCAAATATAATATATAATAATTACAGCAGTATTACATAGTATAGCATATATACATTTAGCAGTATTATATAGTGTAATATGCATTAGTAAATACTATATATACTATACTATATAATAGTATAATGCTAAAAGTATATATGCTATCGTATATAGTATGTACAAATATAGTACGTAAATAATATACAAATAGTACATACTATATATGCACAAGAAATTTTGAGAAGTATAGTTAAAGCTTTTGTAATGTAATGAAATACACTATACATGTTGAAGCATTGATAATTATTTAGAACGAAATATTAAAAGAATTATCTTGTGATATAGTTAGGTTTGTGGGTTATAGTCAGAAGAAATTAGCATAGTAATACAAAACAAAATCCAAATTTTGATAACAACCGCTGTTAAACGCTAACTATGAAATTAGTTCGTGACACGGGTAATAGTAACGCATAAACTTCACTATAACAGCAGTCATGAACTGTAGCCTATTACCAACCTCTAGAACACTATACAACGAGACATACTGCGTTATACTCGTCCAAACATGCTGACCTAGGAAGATCCAAAATAAGTTCTATTACTGTGCTAAAAATAGTGTCGAAATGTTTTTCCAGTCAACCCACCAAATGAAAATGACTTGACGAAAGCTATACTTCCAACATCTGTAAACTAACATTGACAGATATATAGGGTGTCTCATAACATATGGGACCTGCTTCACAGAATTTTGCTGATTATTTCGTCATCTTTACTACAAATAGCAAGTTCTGTGTTCTGTTAATGTAAATATAATAAATTATTGTAACGTAAACGAATAAAACACAGAATAAATAATAAACTCGTTTCTTTGAAATTTTTTACTTCGATCACTTACATATACAAGGTGTCACGGTAAAAACTACTATCTCGATTATCTTTTCAATTATATTTGCACCCTGACTGACCTAACATATATTAAATTATACATATTTGTGTTCGTCTTGAGAGCTGCTACCAAATAATAAATTAAAAAATAGGCTGCTATTAAAAAGAACAAAAATGACTTTCACATCTTTTACATAACTTCATCTACAAAAAGGTCTATGTGAATATATAATGATCCTTTGGAACTAAATATTATTTGTTTGAGCAATGTATTTATTGTTCTTACAGTATAAAAGATAATCAAGGTACTAACGTCCATTGAGACACCCTGAATAATTGTTAGTACATGCAAGAAACAGGTTATAAAGTAAATTCGACCATTGGCCTGATTATAAGTGTATGTTTGTCACTGTAAGAGCTATACTGAATAGGATATTCCTGAATCGATGGACAGGACGTGGTAGACCAATTTAGGTTATCTCGTTTACGTACTCCATGCTGTATACTCAAGCCTAATACCGTTTTAGATCATAATAGATACATCGGTGACACAGAGTAAGTCAATCGAATTGACCACGAGTATTGGTCCAAATTTAAAAATATAGAATGTCATGGAAAATATTTTATACATTTTATTGATACCACGATACGTAATCCTTTTATGACATAAAACTATTTATATGGAAAACCATTTCTTTTTTATTTTTAATAATAAAATATTTATAATAATTTATAGCTACTGCTGGAAAAATTTTAATGACTTCATATACAATTGTTTTTAATAGCAAAACAATCATACATATAATACATTTCACTTCATGGGATATAAAATTGTTTAAAGGGAAAGAACATATTTTTAGAACAAGACTAATTTATATCTTATCTCTGGGAAAT